GGAGGGGTCAGTGATTGCCAAGCAATTGCCAAAGGCTACTGAATAATATAACTGGAATTAAGGAATTTTTAGTCTCAGCTCTGTCTCCCTGCCAGAAAAGCTAGGAGTAAAGGCTTGCATGCAGATGTGAAGGTGGTACTTCACAGAACTGGAAACTGACAGAGTTTACAAGAGACAATGAAAGGCAAGTGTTGGGAAAACAACTTTTGGACATGAAATATACATACAGGGAAATGCTTATAATGGGCTTTATGATGAAAGACCCTTCTTTCAGGGTGCAGAGCATTTAAAAATATGGATTTTTATCAGCATTACCACTAGCAGAGCGTTATTAAAGGCATTTTTATTGTGATATAGGATGGTCAAACATCAATAGTATATAGTGTTGATCTGTCCTGTGGTAAAAATGACACTGCTGTGCCTTGCTTTTACAAAGATTCAACAAACACATTAACTGTATCTAGTCCTTCCAGTTTTCCATGTCTCAAAGTGCTTTATAAGAAGAGGAAAGAATCAGAGTACATGAGGGAACTGAGGCAGAGAGAAAGCAAATAATACGTCCAATGTCAAATAATTCTCTTCCACATTTCATCATGATGATGTGACGTTAGTGAGCTTGCTACAAAACCTTGCCTTTTTGCATGTAAGACATATCTGGATTATATCAGCTATTGCCGTTTAGCAAGTAGTGTTCACTTGACTGTATAATGTGAAAATGAGAACAGAGTCTAGCTTTTGTCACCCTGTCCTCAAAACTTAGAATATGATCATTTAGGCTTCCTGTTTTCAAATAGGTGAATATTATTCTTGGGTTTTTTAAACATAAACTTATTTTTTTAAAATAAAGCTATAAAAATACTGCTTCAAAGTAACTCATCTTGTGGGTCTTTTGCCAGTGTTTAAAAGAACATCTGCTGGTTTGTATTATTACTTCAAATATACGTTAGCTGGAGAACTCGAGGATTTGCTATGAAAAATGACATGACAGGAGGATCAAATAATATTTTAAGGGCTTTTCTTAGGAAAATTGTTTAAAACAGCTTTTATTTGATCTTCAGCAACTTCAGCCTTTACAACATCTGACATGAAGTTGAATCTCCTTTTAACTTCCTTCTAGCTAACCAAAGAAAAGGTGCTCATTGCTTTATGATCCAAATTTAATGAAGAAAAATATTCGAAAGAGGAAAAAAAATGCAAAAGAGATTTCTGAGTTTGAAACTTCATAAATTCTTTTTAAAAATGGAAATGCAAATGATTTACAGAAAAAAAAATCATTTGCAAATAGTAGCTCAGTCAAATCCCAGGTGAATCAGAGGGCATCGTGGCAGAGTATGAGATCCAGATACTGTTCTCCCAAGATACTGGTTAATTATTTGATATACCTTTTTGACCATAGGAGAGTACTTGTTGCCTCTCATACAGTGTTTCCAATGCAGAGCGGTTGTGGTGGTTTTGTGTTGATTATTTCTTGTTCATAAAGTCTTCTTCAGTGTTTTCTTAGAAGTTGTTATAATAAAATGCTGGGGATACTGGCATAAATATGCAGTGCACATGTCTAAATCTGAGGTTTCCTGTTCTTTTTTTAAGCTCTGCTTCTCTAAAGGAGGATGAGGAAGGGTGGGGCAGAGGTTTTGGAGCTGTGTCAAGAGTCAGGGATGTGTTATGTTGCGAGGAGTGTCTGCTCTTCAGCAACACTGCCTATGCAGTTTAAACCTTTGGCTCCACATCCAGTGGTGAGGAATTATGTCTTAACATGCTGTCATGCTAAAATGTCCAGTACTCTCCCCCCATGTGCCCCAGAGATCCTGTTCACTGAGTGAGTGAACAGGATCTGCCATTTAAAGCCTTTGCATTCCCATTAGCCCTGGGAGTTTGCTTTACTTTTGCTGCTGCTTCTGGCCACAGAAGTCACCAGTATCAGATGTTTGTTTGAAAGTCTTATGAAAACAAACATGTTTTTAATCTACAAATCTAACCTCTCAAATGCTTGGCTCATATGACGTCTTGAAAAATTTTGCGGTGTTTACTTACTTAAGTTTTCTGCAAGGATATTGCACCTTATAACAGTATGTAGAGTTAGCCTGGATGAGGCTTTGAGCAACCTGGTCTAGTGGAAGGTGTCCCTGACCATGGCAGGGGGGTTGGAACTAGATGATCTCTAAGGTCCTTTCCAGCCCTAGCCATTCTATGACTCTATGATATGTCAGATTACTGCTCTTGGGCAAAGAATTATTGTTTCAAGGAAAAGTATGGTTAATTGACACACCCTGTACGATTTATGGTAAAGAGACTGATAAATTTAACAGAACAAAGAAAAAATCATGTCAAAATTCTCTCTGATAATCCATCACATTGTTAATTAAAGCAAACATTTCTTTAAAAAGATCCCTCATTGCATAAGATCTGTTTGTGAAATTACTGATTTGTCACAGTAGAGACAGTTAAGGAGTGTTGTTACCTCAAAATGGCCAAGCCTTAAGGATGCTGTCCAATATCTGGAAGTTTGGGGGTTTTTTTATGAGCTGAATGGCCACAGTTTGGGATGGAAAAAGAATAAAGTACCTCTTTTCAGTCAGTCAGCTTTTAAGTTCTTTAATTTTCAGTACTTTGTTCTTTGCTTTGGCCCTGACTCATGCAGATGTGTTGGTGTTCATTTGGTTTTTAGGAGCTCTAGGTGCATTGAAGAGCTCTGCATAGCCAAGTATGAACTCCACTAGCAGCGCATTCTGCAGTCCCTGAACCTGGGGGGACTGAAGGCCTGTCTACCTTCCAGGCTTTAGACTTGTTCTCAGACTCAGTGCAAATGAATTGAAGCATCTCTTTCATGTTTGCATGGATTAATATTTATATGCCTGACTATATGGTAGCCATACCTTAAAAGTAGTTCATTGTTGTGAAGTAGCTGCTTCTAGATGCTTGAGTTTCTGTCTCTGGAGGAAAGACTGACCCTGACTAAAATGGGATAGTAACATCTATGCAGAGGGCAGTCCCTCTGGGGACTGTCCCCCAGGCAGAAGGATTAGAGGGGGCAAGGATATGAAGATGCCGCATTCTGTGAAAATAAGAGGATGCCATATATTTTGGAAAATCTTCACAACCTCCTTCTTGTTTTTCTGAGAAGTCTCAGACATAGCTGCCTTCCTGTGCAGCAGTTGCTTGCCTTTGATTGTCTGATGGTTACTGGGATTGTGAGGTTTAGCACTGAGTAAAAAGGAAAGTTTCTTCTTCTCAGACTGGTCCCTTACATTGCTTGGGGAAGCACTGCAGAAGGGCCTTGGGAGAAGAGTAGTTCACGCGGAAACTACCAGAGGATGCTGAGAGGAGATGCTATATAGAGGTTTGTTTTTCTCTCCCTCTCCTTTCACATGCAGTTCATGGTTTCTGAAGAGAACTGTGACTTTCATGCAGGTAGTAAGTCTTCCAAGACATTAAGATTGTAACAGTCAGTAACTATCCACATCTAATGATGATAGGACAAAAATGTACCATCTTAATTTGATGAGAGGAACAGACCAGTTAGACATTAGGGGAAAGCTTTCTAGCCAAAGGATAGTGACGCAGTGGACCAGGCTTTTTAGGAAGTATGCAGAACCTTCTTTGTGAGAACAGAATGGGTTGATGTAGATATATTAATACTAGTCATTGCTAGAGGACATGCTGAGGATGCTGTGCCCGTGTTTCAATATTTCTGCAATTGTTATAGAAGAAAGGAAAAATCAAAGAAGATATGTAAGAGAAGATATAGTGTCAAAGTGGTAGTTTGGAAAATTACTTTTTACAGCAACATTTTGGAGGAATCTGAGCAGCACAGAGTGGCATTTGTCAATGGCAGAGAAAGACATACCACATGAATAGACATCTGAATTGATTGAAGCCAAAATCAGGATTAGTGTGGTGGCTGTGTAGGCTAGTCTGTAGTAAAGAGATTTCATCTAGAAAGACCCAGCAAGTTTTAGAGGCAGCTTTTGTGTGGGAATTTAGGAAGAGGATTTAGTAAAAATATTTGGTATAATGTATGGAGATAGTAAGATAACAGATGGAAGGAAAGTAATCTGCAGCAAGAGGCAGATGTACTGATGATTTGGGGCTGATGCAAGTTGTGGTTTAAACAAATATAAGGTGAGCTGTTCTATGGAAGAAGTAATACAAAAAATGTAGCAACTATGAATTGTAAAAACAAAATCATAAATTGTTAAAAAACTCATTGTAAAAACCAGAAGTTTTGAGCTTCTATTAAAGCATGGTTTATGCTTTTAAAAGTCCTTTTCTGACTGCATTGGGTGGTTTAATAAAGTGAATATCGCCTATACCTATGAACTTCTGCTTCCTTTAAGAAAACAAATTCCTGGGTAGATTGCTAGGGCTTTAGTTAAGATGAATAGAGGAGAAGCATCGACATGAAGTTTATTCATGCTTTATCAACTGTTAAAATTTCTCAAACCTGTTTCTAATTCAGTAGGAAGAGGTTTTTTGTTCATTATAGCTACTTAGTGCCTTTCACTGGCAATTCCTCAGTTCCAGTCTAAGGCTGTACTCAGATGCATGTTGCTGTATTGTTGACTCCTGAAGTTTGCCAGCCATCGACAAGGACTGCAGTGCCTGAGATAAGGATTCCTTTCAAAATGTTCTCTGCAGAATTAGCAGCTTGTCTGCTTTTTCACCGTACTACAGCACAAGAAAATGGTGGGCGGGCTGCTTACATGAGGTGCTGTTAGAAAAATATGGTGTGTTTTATACAAAGTAATAAAACTCTAGAATCTTGAGAAGGCGGAAGAAACTCAGATAATTTCAACCTTTGAAGCAGAGATTCCTGGCCTCACATAACTGTCTGGGTTTTTTTAAATGAAAATATGGAAATGTCTTTTTTCCTAGGCTTAACTAAAACTGTAACTGTGACTTTTTCATTGAAAAGCCGTTACATAATTGTTACTTAACTTGCTGTATTTTAACATGTTTCCAGATAGAGGACGCTCCTTGGATTATAAAGTGTTTTAGGCGCAATGGCAGATCCCATCCGCTGGGCCCGATACCGTTGGCAGAGACTGATATCTACAGAGGGCGGAGAAGGTAGCAGCAGCTGTCATTCAAGTAACAAATGCTATCAATCATCAAAAACTATTGGCAAACATAGGATAGTGATACCCTGTTTGGGCCATTTTAAGGAAGAGTATGAAAAAGTATCAAAACTGTACATGAACAACAAAATACGGACTACTAAGTATACTTTATTGAATTTTTTACCACGGAATTTATTTGAACAATTTCACAGGTAATGAACTCCTTTTGTGGTAATTCTTCTGGAGTGGAATCCTTTTATTTAAATCTGTGTTACTATATAGATGGATATTCAAAAATTATTCTTCCTGTTGACCTGTCTATCACTTCTGAAGACATCTGTGTTATTTGGACAAAGTCTCTTGAGTATCATCAGTGTTGGGGTAATCCTTCTCTCCACAGCTTATGTAATTTCCACTCATTCTGTTCTTCGGATTGTTGAAATATTTCTTACTCTTGGAGAACTGCCACACAGCAATCTGCAGTAGGATTTTCAGCTCATTCCCTGCAAATGTATTTCTCCCCTTCCTTCATGTCTTTCTCTGTTGCCATTTTTTTTCATTCTCCTTCTGCTTGGAGGACTGCAGATTTATAAAGTTATACAGAGAGTTTGTGGGATTGCTCTCCTTTAAAAACATGTCATCTCCCCCAGGAAATTATAAAATTAAGTTTAAAAGATCTGGAAATTTGAGAGAGTGCAAGTTCACCAAAGCCTCACTAGAAGACATATGACTGAAGGACAGGTTTGAAAATACATGAAAATTCTTGGTTTGTGCATCTTCTGATCACGCATATTAAGCATCTGTGCAGCTAGGTAACCTATTGATTGGAGAGTGAAAAGAGAGTTATGGATCCTTAGTTCTTAAATTGCAGTTGGGGTGAAGAAATTATAAATTACGGCTAACTTAGGTGTCTGTATAACATGGAGCGGGGGAGTAAGGATGACTTTCTCCTAGCACAGCTAACTCATATTTTCTCTTTGTTTCAGAGTTGCCAATTTGTATTTCCTGTTTCTAGTTGTCCTAAATTGGGTTCCTCTGGTTGAAGCCTTCCAAAAAGAAATTACAATGCTACCTCTAGTAGTGGTTCTGACAATTATTGCAGTGAAAGATGGTCTGGAAGATTACTCTAAGTATAAAATGGATAAACAGATAAACAACTTACTAACCAAAGTATATAGCAGGTAAGAGACAACAGTCTTTCTGGTTTGTCGCTATTATTTCATTATGAGTACGTGTGAAAAAGTTGTTGATAAATCTTTTGGTTTACTTTCTGTATACTCATAGTATCATAAAATAATTTAAATTGGAAGGGATCTCTGGAGGTCATCTAGTCCAACCCTCTGCTCAAAGTAAGTCTAAGTAGATCAGGTTGCTCAGGGACTAGTCTTGATTACCAGTTTTGCTAGATGGATGTTAAATTAGTGTAAAATTTGCAGAAAAAAATTATTCTTTGGTTGAGGCAAGAGTCTTCATGCATGAATTTGTACTGTATTAACCAATGTAGTTTGACTAGTTAAGCGTTATTTTACATAGCATTTGTTTTGAAAGGTGTATTTTTAATTCCTCTAGAATCACTGTGAGCTTCATGGAAATTCAACGATTGCTGATTTATCACTATATTGGTAAAGCTCATTAATGGTATTAGGACATACTCATAATGTAATAACATTTCCCCAAACAGAATGAGATAATCTTCTGTTTGAGTGCATCACACATCCTAACAAATGTTAGTGCAGGACTGCAGTATTACAGGACTGTAGGTGCAGGTCAGGAGTGGAGTGTGCTAACTGTGAGAGGTTCACTGGCAGAAGGTTATTATGCATGGATAATAAAAAGACAGGAATGCGAATTGATCATATTCTAAATTCACTGTCAAAAAACTTCCTGTAGTGCACGTCAGTGCTGCCCACATAATTGTTTTCTTTTATACCTGTCATAAAAGGATATTCTGAGACTCATTCAAATCCTGTAAAATTCAAGAAAAAGGGTCCACTATACTTCCTTTATCTTTTCTTTCATGCTCTGTGATCGTGCAGGGAGAAAGGTATTTTGAAAAACATCACTCTTCATATGTTGTAGTAGCCATCGCAAATAGCACCTATAGGGGAGGACTGGTTGGCAGTTAGGCACTTTAACAAATTCACTAAGGTCTGAGCAGTAACATACAGTAATTCCTGTAGTGCCAAACAACATTTAAAGCTCCCTCTTTTCATTAAAGACATACCTTTTCCTAATGAAGGCAATACACTGAAAATAAACTTTTCTAAAAATTTAATATGCTACCTGGTTATGCCAAACACTAAACTCTGCTGTGGAGATGACCTTAATCAGCCCATGCAGCACAATTGCAATCTGGTACTACACAACCATTAAATATATTGTGATATTACTCAGAAGCTTGAATCTTCAGCTTTCTGGCATTTGCCATACTCTATTGGTATTTTAAGAGCTAGCTCATAAGCATAGAAAATGTATGGACTATCATTTTATATCATCACAGGAAAAACAAACGGCTTTTTGTTCTGCAGACACTAATGTATATAGCATCTTTCTCAGAAACACTTTATTCAACCTATAAAAATTTGAGCAAGTAGTTAGACTATTAGGGAAAATAAGCGTTTTCTTTCTTTTTCGTGTCTGCAGAGAAGGCTTAAGGGAGAAACTGGATTATTTCTGCTGTAAATTGTCATGTGCCCTGAAAGAATTCATTGCTAGAAAGCTGAAGCATTCAATATCCATATTCCTGAAAACTCTGTGTTACTTGCCATCTCATACCAATATCAGTGAAGCAGAATTAAGTTCTAATCTTTTCTGCATTGATTCCTTCCCCATCACCACAAATGTGTACTAATTAGTGGCCATATTAGTCATCTGTAAAAATGCCTTCTTGTGCCTTTAAGTATTTAGGTTGTGTAACTTTTTTTTTCCTCTTTAGTTTGCCATGAATTATTTGACATAGTATAATCTCATTTTACAAGTAAGCTTGGAGTCATGGTTCAGGAGAATTAAATCTTATGATTTAATAGTGAACAAAAATGATTGTTCACTATGTGTGAGCTGATTTATCTTAAGCTTCCATTAAATGCACATTAGGATTCAGCATTTCTTAACTTGTTTAATAAGAATCCCTTAAAAATTATAATGACTCTTCCAGTGCATGCATTTAATCAAGAATAGTCATATCAATTGTAAACACGATGAAGAACTAGCTAATATTCAATACAATTTCCAATTATTTTCTTGCTGTGTATTTGTTCATCTGGAGAAGTTGTGTACGTTGTACATGCTGTCTGTATAACTTCGCTTACACATTAGTAGCTGATACCTATGTGGCTACTGAGACAAGTGCCCAATATAATGACTCTTCTTGCGATCTCAACATAACTGGGCAATAGTTGTCATGCTTGAAAGCTGGTAGGCCGCGTGTTTGTATCTGAAGGTAATTTGCCTAGTGCATTTTCAGAAAGACCAGTGATCTTTGCCTTCTTGAACTCTTTTCAGACTTGCTTTTATACAAAGTGAAGTGTTTGTAATAGAAACTGGTTTCACTGTGCTCTGTTGTCCATGACAAAATGTTCCAGTCTCAGTGACTTGATAAATCTTTCTGAGCAACTAGATGCTAGTTTCTGTGGTTTTTTGGCAGATCTAATTTCCACCCCCTGCCATTTGCTTTTGCTTATAGCAAATTTCTGACATCCATAGTTACAGGATTTTCAACCTGTTGGAGTTCTGGAATTTATCCATTTGATAGGTCAGAATTATTGTATTTGGCCTTAAATACAAGAGCCTGAAGCTGATTTTCCAGGAAAGCTGCTTTTTTTCCGTGTCTCATCTTTCCCTTGAGGAGTGATAAAACATATCAATAAACAATAAAATGTGCTAATGTGCACTTTAGTTAGTAATTGTTAATATGATGTTAAATACTTAGTTATCAAATCCTTGTACCTTTTGAGCAAGTTGTTATTTCAAAGTAGGATCTTATTTAAATAGCCATGAATCACAAAGTATAAGGCATTTCTGTTTGAGCATCTAGTAAAATCATGTAGTTCGTGTCATTTCAGTAGAACTGTGGTGAGGTGACTATGATGGAAAAATCCATTTATTGCCCCACTGACTTACTACTAAAGATGGCTAAAATTTTGCCTGACTATGCTGAACTGAATAAAGAATATGTACATGATCTATCTGCTGCATCAGCAGCAGGAGGGATAACTTCACTGGCTGATATGTTTTTCTTCTCTCTCAAATGTATTTCTATTTCATTCCAAGCCTTGCATGTAGATATGCTGTAGCTACTGTTCTTTAGAAATGCATGTTCATGAAAAATATTGTATATATTTGAAATCCAGATATAATTTGATATCCAGTTTTTCTTTATGGAATTGAGATCTGGAAAGAATAAACCTTTCTACAAGATTCTTTCTTTCCTTTAGCTTCCCTCTCCCTCTCCCTCTCCCTCTCCCTCTCCCTCTTCCTCTCCTCTCCTTTTACAGACTGTAGCCTGGCAAAAAGAAAGTTGGACTTGTCCAGGTGCATCAAGTAAAAAGAAGCATCATATACTTTGTCCCCCATTTATTAAATAGGTAGTGATTTAAAAGAGAAATATTTGCCATCTCCTGAGGGCTAGTCTAAACACGGGCAGCACAGAGAAATATGTTTCTGTAGTTTTTGGAGAAATACATGGTAGTTAGAAAAAATACAGGGATGCGAGAGTACTGGCGTTTTTCTCCTTTTTTAAATCTAATTACTTCAAGGATAAATCAAAGGGTTGCTTTGTAACACAATCTTTAATTTCCAAATATTTCAGTGGTTTTGCAAATTCCAGTTAACTTTGAAAAATTCCTGTAGAATCAGTGGCAGAATTTGACAGGTTTTCACCTGATATTTTTATCTTACTACATTAGTGATGCCATTGCTTTCTTTGTTTATGAGCTTATTTTGTCTTGCTTACCATTCTGTAAATGATTTCTCTAACTCTTCTAGATACAAGCTGGCTGTGGAAGTAATTTTCCCCCACCACCCTCCTGAGTTCTCAAATCCTTTCCATCCTGTTTGGAGGGTGAGGTAAAAGGGTGCTGCTGTGGAGTGACCAGGGCATTCTGCTCCAGTTGGTGTTGTACCCTAATTGGACTCATTTGGCCTTTGTTTCAGGGTAAATTGGCCTACACAAAAAGTTATGCTGATGTAGTTTTCAATACCTGAGGGGTAGTTCTGAACAACAACAAAAAATCACTAGTTTTCAGTCTGCTCAGTCTCCTCAATGGAGTTACTTTGTCAGAACCTTTGCAACTATCAAACCTCAAGTCATACCTTCAGTAAGTGAGTCACATCCGGTTTCAGCAAATCTTCCTTCCCTTTTCCTCTTTACCTCTATTATTAGTTTGTTTTTTTGTTAATTTACTTTAGAATTTTTGCCTTCCACTTTTTTTTTTCTTTTTCCTTCTTTATTTTCAAGGAAATGTACTGGTATGAAAAGTTAATTCCTGCAGTGTTGTTTGAATCCATCCATCTTGTGATAGACATGGCTGTAGCTTTAAGTTTTACATGCTTTCAACAGTTTTCCATCTGTGTAGAAAGCTAGTGATGAGCATTTTGACATGAGCATGAGGAGAAAACAGATGTGGCTTCTATTGGTTTAATTTTATGTCAGCTTTTGTTGCTTCCTGTTTTTGCCTTGTTTGTACTTTGAAAACAATGTAATTACCTCCACCTTATCTTCACTGGAGAAATTGTTATCACTATGCTGATTAATCATGTGGGCTTTTTCCCTTCTGTTTGTAGACAAGCATTTTCAAAAGGGTGCTGTCAGATGATGCAGGTCTAAAAGGTATAGGTGCAAAGCTTGATACATTTTTCTGATATTTTCTTTGGCATGAGAAGCATCTGTTTCTATGTCACTATTTATCAGCAGCATTCTACATAGCTATCACTTTCATTAAAGTTAGTAGTGCCAGCCTACACACAATGGCCGTGTAGTGAAGCTTGTTAGCTTATGTCTGCGCTGTAGAAGCTGAGTGCACTTCCCAACTCCCCAGTGTGAGTGTGCTTCTTGGCCAGCTTAGAATGAGTTGCTGGGAGCAAAGCACAATGTGGAAGACAGCCCTAGCACAGCCCAGACTATACCCTAATCTGGGTGACTGAGAAACAAAGGCTGTGGAGAGTTCATGCTCCTCTCTTTAAACATAGCTCTAGGCTTAGTCTATGTAAGGCAGAAAAGCCGGACAGTCACAGGGGGCAGTAATATTTCGTACAGAAACGTGCTGCATCCAGACCTGTGCAGTGTTTGTAAAAGCGACTCTAGGTGTGTTTCATCACCCGTATTGCAGTAGCCTACTACTGCGTGCCTCTGGCTAGCTTGTCAAGCACTCCTTATTGCTTGTTACCTTGCATCCTGTTCACCACCCTAAACCTGATTGTGTTTGCAATAAACTACTGTGATTACATAAAAGGAAGATTCTTCATCTCAGCTGAGGACAGAACAGCAGCTATAAATGGAAAGTCGGAAGCAGTTCAAACTTATGTATATCATGCCTGGATATTTCATATTAATAAAGAATTTCAACTCAATACTGAGCTTTTATTGACTTCCCCGAGTATTACAGATTCTTAGTACCTTAAGTTCAAAATTAATGGAAAAAATATTTTAAAAGCCTGTAAATGCAAGTATTTATATGAGAGCATCAGTGAAGTGATTGCTGAATATTCTTTGCTTACTAGTAGATGTTAATTATCTTGAAAGACAGACATTTTGAAAGGCTCTCTCAGAAGGGAAGAAGATTTGCTGTTCTTGGCTGCATAAATGCAAGCAAAAGTGGTGACCTAAAGAGAAATCCTGAAAACAGTTTGCTGTCATGAAATAATGAAAATACAGGGAGTAAGTGGGCTGAATTTTAAATAGAGGTAAAATAATTCTGGAAGGGTGTCTGGAATGTAATTCCCAGAAAAACAGGGCTTAGACCGCAGAGCTGATTCTATGCAATTAAATTCACCTTGAGCTAGTAGATTGTCTCCTAAGAGTGCTTTTTAATGACTTGGAAGCATAAATTAACTATTAGAGTAATTTTCTAGTTACAGTGTGTTTTTCTGAGCTTTCAGTTCATGCGTTTGTAAAAAATTACTGGTTTTATATGTATTTCAGGAAGGAGAAGAAATACATGGATGAATGCTGGAAAAATGTCAATGTTGGGGACTTCATCCGGCTTTCACGTAATGAAATCATTCCTGCCGACATGGTGCTGTTATATTCTAGTGACCTGGATGGGATCTGTTACATTGAAACGGCAGGCCTTGATGGAGAAACCAATCTAAAGCAGAGGCAGGTGGTGAGAGGATATTCAGAGCAGGTGATAATTGTGCATTTCTAGTAGTGTAAGAAGGTTGACATAACTATCAGCTAAAAAACCCCAAACAACCCAGCCATCTGAACTGCCTAATTCTTTATAGCTCAGCAATCCCCATCTGAAAACAAAATAATTAGGTAACATAGTTCTGAGTTGTTACTTGAGTTACTTTGGAGCAAATCTTTGTGTGTTCAGTTAACCCAGAGAAAGATCTATTTCAAGTAATACAAGCCAGTAAAAATAACTGTTCAGGTAAATGTCAGTTAAGTCATTTATGGTGCATATCATGTCATGGGTGACAAATTGGAATTTTTTAGAAGGGAATTCTGTGCTGTATAAAGACCTAGAGGGAAAGACAGATATTATCTTCTCTCTTTCACTGTTTTTTTGTCATATTGCAAATGTATTTGTAGCTCCAATTCTAGTCCTTCAAGGATTTATAAAACCTTTGGAACACTTAGAATTTTTCTGCTACAAGCATGAACAGCATTAACTGAGTCATCTCCCCCTTTCAAGACTGAGAATCACTGAGTCTCAAAGGGTTTATAGTACCAAGTAATAGTGGGTAAACAGTGGATCTATGCTTTTCAGCCATGGAAGCCACATGGTTAAGGCTTTGTAAGTAATTCATAAAGGCCATTTCAGATACTGAAGAGATGACTGCCATTTTTTTAATACCAGACAAATAAAATTTATCTGGTATTATACCTAGTGGACAGAATGCTGGAGGCTGGCACAGAGAAGATGATACCAAAAGAACAAAGAATCCTGTCATTGCTGTAGTCTTCAGCACACCTGGTACTGAGTTCTGCTGCTGAAACACCATGCTGAAAACAACAGCAGGAAGACTCCGTGCTGTCCATAAGAAGAGACTGTTTAGTCCTCTGGAGATAAAATTGCCAGAAATGCCTGTGAATTGTCAGCAGTGGTGGGAAAGTGAGGAGGAATACCTTGTTGTGCATTAAGTCTCCCCTGTTACTTAGCAAGTACGGTAATACTAAAGGCGTGATGTGATATCAATGAACAAAACTATTTCTTATCCCCTTAGTGACATGCTTTTTTTTTTTTTTTTTTTTTTTTTTTTTCTTGATTTAATCTTAAGACAGTAAGGCAGAAAGGACTGTTTGGTCTTTCTGTATATGGGTATCATTACATAAGGCAAAATTCAAATGGTTCTACAAATTTACATCATACTGAAGTGGCTCTGATCTCATACTAGCTCCTGCTACCAAGGACTGATTTCAGTCTCACTCAAGAAAGAGACCGTTTTCTTTGTTGCCAGAAAACTTGCACCAAGATGCTATGGAGAGTTATACTGTCCAAAAAAAGTAACAAGTCCTTCACCATTCAAGGCTGTTAATTTTTGTCCTCAAATACAAAAGAAAAAAAAACTGTCACTGTAGCGTGGTCTTGACAGGACTGCATGGTTTCTGAATGTAGAGCCGTGGTCAACTTCACAGACCTCTAGTGCCCTGCCAGCTGAGTTTCAGCCAGAGCTTTGTTCTTATAAACTCGGGCTGAATAAGACTCTGGCAGTTCTGTGTAAGAGGCTGACTTCCTGACCTCTCTGTTTCTTAAGTTCAGAAGAATAGGAATAAACTACATCAAATTAAAGAACATCTGAAAACAAGGTCTAAAAAGACTTAAAACTATTTGCGAGGGTGTTAATGTCCTAGGTCTTTGTGACTGAGCAAGTAGAAATACAGTGAAAAAGGTTATCAGTGGGGCACTTATTCTTGCACTTGGGATTCCTTTAAGAGAAAGCAAGGCAAAATTAAAGTGTGAAACTGTAGCTGAAACTGTCATAGTCAAATTTATATTTTGTCAATTTAGAATAGTTTGGGTTTTTTTTTTAAGTGCTTAAATGACAACAGGAAAGAAGTTGGGAAAGTAACTTGAGGCTTCTTGGGTAAGTGTGTAACAAGGCACAGAACATAGTGTCTCCAGCTATCTTGGCATTCACACAAAACAGCTGAGGACCTGCTCCCTGAAGATAATGTTGTATTTAGTGAACAAGCTGACATTGTTCTGGTGCTTTCAAGATACTAAAGTATTGCTTTCCATTAAGGGATTAATATCCTTTTCCTTACACACCTCATATGCTTAGTTGAACCAAGCACAGATTCACTGGGGTGGAGAAGCTAATATGCCATTAGCACCAAGTCACTGTGAGCAGGGAATGTCTCCTGTTACAAGAGAGGCCACTGGACTGCAGCGGTCAGTTCGTTCTCAGCCTGTGTGGTCAATGACAGAGTCCAGTCCTAGCTGCAGCGTCCTCAGACCTAATGGAGAGGAAAGTGCTGTTCTTTTCTTCCAGGCAGCCTAAGAAGCCAAGCTAATAAAAGGAGTTGCCAGGTCTCCTCTTCTATCTTGGCCATGCACCCACTCCATTCCCATGCCATGTTATCAAACCATATAGTTTGTCAGGAACACAGCATGGCCAAAGCAGTAGGTGTGGCCTTGGGAAGCTGCCTCTTTCCTTATTCCAGTGAGAGAGTCTAATGCAAGGCCTGTCATTCCCACCTACTTTACTCAGTTCCCATCTTTATTGTCCCCCTTCTTTAGGGACCTTTACCTAGAATCCACGTAATTTTAGTTCTGCCATAGAAAATATTCTCTTTTGTGCCAGGAAACATAGGAAAGCATCTCAAGAAATAAAGTGCAAAATATTCTACTCTCAATATTTGCTTTTCAAAGTTAATATTACAGTGAAGAAGTATAGACCATGAACTTACAGTCAGGAAGATGTGGGTGCCCATATCAAGATACCTGCTTTTGGACATAGTTGTTGTCACCTCTACAGTGGTAGAGTGTAGACATAACTTCTGTGCCCACTATAGGTTACACCCCAAGTTTTACGTGGTTGCTATTTCAAGGTATATTGCAAGAAGCTCCTACTAACACTGTCACTGCTATTACAAATTGTTTGACCAAGTCAAATGGTTTAGTTGTCCATCAAAAATAAGATGCTTTCACCAGGAATGCATATCTGGAGACAGTTTCCAGGCTGTAGAAAAAAAGAATCAACTGCTTTGGCTATTTTACTTCCTTTTGGGGTAGTTCTTGTTCTCTTTGTGCTCTTTTTTTGTGTAATCATTGTACAGTATGAAATGCTTGAAAAATGTGAATCAATTACACTGTCTAACATTTTACAGAAATGTTGGACTTTCTGTACAAATAAACATGAGAAAGGTCTTTCATAGTTCATTAAATTTACAGAGTCTGAAGGTATTGTCTGTCTAAGGCTGTGTTCATATTATCTTCAGGTTAATACTGTGCAACAAATCAATACAGCAAAACATAGCAAAAAGTCTTTTTAATCAAGCCAACAAAGCACATATTAGTAATATTATGTCTTTTGAGTTTCATATTCTATTACAGAATTGTGTTTTAACCTCACAGTTGCTATTCTGCCAGTGTGAAGTCACACAATTATGGGATTACAGCCTTCTCAGACCCATATAGTTATGTAGAAGATGTATTCCATTACATCTGGGAATTATAGATTTACCCTTGGAACTTGAAACCTTAAATTGGTCATTCTTTTTTTTCTAATGAGCAAAGCAAATTACTTTCCAAGAGCTAGTGGAAGGTACTCAGCTTGGAAATGGCTCTGTTATACCAGGGCCTAGTGTCTGTTATGCTAGAGGCATGCTCATATGCCATTAATTGAAATTAAATTGTAAGTGCAATTGTAGGTAATTCCAAAGATAAGGCCTTTTGTTTTTTCTCTTACTTCTTGTCAGGTTGCATTCTTTATTAATAAAGAGTATGTGTTTTGCTTGGCTTTTCACTGAAGACTTTGTTTGCTCTTTATTTGCAATGTGTACTTGTAGTCTTTCGTAACAGCCCTTTTTTTGCTTCTGGTAAGGCTTGAACATCATTAAAAAGTTCTACCTGCTTTCTTTGCATTAGCACAGATAGCATTCTGGTCATGATATTGGAAACAACAGCTGTTTGGAAGAAATTCTGCTTGCAGAGAAGACAGTGCCTCTTTTTTTTTCTTCCATATCATGAAAAAAATCCTATGGGAAATCTGCTTTTCAGATGTTCTTACTGCATTTTTTTCTTCTTCCTCACTCTTCCACCCATTTTCTCCTCTCCAGTGTTCTTAAAATATCGGCAATTCAACTGATATTTGCCAGGGTTTGATATTTACTAGGAAGTCCTTCTGTGCTGTAGAAGTCTGATTTATGCTGGGTAGCAGATCATCAACACCAGAAACTTACAGTTTCCAAGCTGAATTGCCAGATAGTAATATCTGAACTTATGAATTCATTATGTTCTTAAATTCCATCAATTTTTGTCTGAGTTCTCCGGGGTTTTTTCCTATGGCTTTAGGTCTCCGAAATTGATCCAGAAAAATTTTCCAGTAGAATAGAGTGTGAAAGTCCAAACAACGACCTCAGTTGCTTCCGAGGCTTTGTGTAAGTAGGCTTGGTGGCTCTTTAAACTACTATCATTTGCTTTGGTGCTCTTACTTATTTTTGGAGAGCTTGTAATGTTTGCTTTAAAAAATTACAATATCTATAGAAGTCAGTTTGCACCACTACATTTCTGAGTGCAGCCCAACAGATAGAGCTCCAGAAGGGCTTTCTGAGCAGCAGATTTTGAACTGGGAAAGCCCGCTAGTGCTTTTTATTTTGTATTGAATATTTTCAATATCTTAGCTCGGGCTGTTTTGCAATGGTGTATTCCATATTTGAAATAGCTGCTTCAAATCTGCTTTTAATAACATATGATTGATATCTACAGTATTTGGTTTAGACCATGGCCTGATTGGCCAGGCTGCATTGCTCAGAGTTAGAAATGGGAAAGACTGGCTTCCTCTCCTACTCTGATTTGTGTTGTGTAACCATCAGTGACTTGATCAAACTCCTTTTGACCAATGTGCCTATCTGTATCTTTTCTTCTTATGGGTTTATCATTTTCTGTAGACAGTAGGGAAGCAAAATACTATTTCATAGGGTGACTGATTTTCAGTTTTTGAGCGTTATAATGTCTATATTCTTCCCTGTGGGCACTGAAACATTAGAAATATGAAAAGAAAAATAAATATGTATAAATCTTAGTCTTTGAGGAAACACCTTGACAAACAGTGGGCCTACCTGCACTGAAAGTATGCCACAGGAGTAACAATGCTCACAGTATATTTAAAATGGGATTTTATATTTTGTTCAAATTATTTCTGATGTTGGCCATCCAAATAGAAGTCGTGGACTTTTAGATTCCACTGTTTGTCTTGTGCTCTTTTCGATAGTGTTGCCTACTTCTCATATGCTAGGCTTGTAAACACGAGAAAAGTTTAATGCAGTGCCTGCATACCTGGATTTTCAAAGGTGATCTGCATGCATGTTAACCCATTCTTTTTGAAATGTCCAATCATAAATGTCAGAATAGGAGTCAGTGACTATCAGCTTCTTTGAGCAGTCTGCTGCCTGATGGTTTTACAAAGCCTGACTGGTCATCACTGGGGTCCTACAGCTGATGTAATGTGTTTTTTTTTTTTTTTTTTTTTTCAGTGAGCATTCAAACAAGGATCGAGTGGGCCTCAGCAAGGATAACTTACTGCTCCGAGGATGCACAGTGAGAAACACAGAAGCTGTTGTAGGCATAGTGGTTTATGCAGGTTAGTGAGCTACCCTGGCTTTCACAGATTGCTTTGCAAACAAGAGTTATATGCTCTAAGGAACAGTATTGTACGAAGGGGAATTAGGAGCACAAAAGTTTGACTAGGGTAGAAGGCAGCTGTAGCTAGACATGTTAAGAATGCATATCTGGATTAAGTTTGTTTATATTTTAACAATGTAAAGAACGGATATGTCTGATTATTCATGGGAGGCCAGCTCTGTTCCATGTGAACAGCTCCTTGTCCTCAGCTGTTAGCTGTGATGGTAAACCCGGGTTTTGAAATGGACACGGAGATGCATGGCTTGCTTAGGATTTTTTTCCGGTCCAAAACTGAAGCTAGTGCTGTTCTTCATCTTCAGTGTTCTGTATCAAATGTCAGAGGTTTTTAAACTAATCAGTATGATGTATTGGGCCAGATAGTTGTAATGCAGGTGCAGGATTTTGTAGAAAATATTGGAAATAATATAGAAAACATCAATAATTAGATTGTTTCTATAGGAACGAATATTGACAATATAAAAGTTAATGTGTACATGACAGATTTTGGTTTAGTTTGTTTAGTTTTCTTTAGGACATAATTCATATATTGTAGGAGCAGGTAGTGTGCTGATATTTATATTCTCTGTTCAGATGTATTAGTTAACAGAAATGTCCCGTTTCCCAGAGCTTTAGAAATATAAAGCACTTGTGGTTCTGATACCTGCTGTTAGACAATTTCAACCTGTGTTGTGGTTACAGGTCATGAAACCAAAACTATGTTGAATAACAGTGGCCCTCATTACAAGCACAGTAAATTGGAAAGGAAAGTGAACACTGATATTCTTTGGTGTGTTCTGCTTCTAATTTTGATGTGTTTAACTGGTGCAATAGGTAAGTGAGAATCATCAGGCTTCTGCTATTTTCCTCTTTAAGCCTACAATGCTTAGTGTTTTATTTTGAGGCTGATTCATTTTAACAGCCAGTCTCAGAAACTGCCTTTATCCATGTGTAATTCCCTAGCAACTGGGGGTGCTGCCAGGTTTTAGTTCACGTTGTCGTGTTTAATCTGGAGTGTGGTCAAGAAGAATGTTCCTGGTACAAGTTCTTAGGTCTCCAATTAATTTCTCTTTTCTTTCACTACTTGCTCTACAAAACTCCTACTTTCTCTTGGGATTTTTCAGGTAATGTGAGATGCATGTACAGCGTTGTGAGGAGGGCCTAGTGTGACTAGAGTTGTAAGGACTTGGTATTTTAGGGATTGGTTAAATAGTGGGTAAATCTAAACAGCCCAGCTTTTATGACAAATCAAAAAGGTGTTTAAAACATCTTTAAAAAACTTCAGACTACACTGAATAATAATGACGTGGTGCTCACAGGTTACCTAAAATCTGGACAAGCAAGGGTAATACAATTAATTGCCAGAGGTTTTCCTCGGGGAATAAAAAAAGTGTTTATCGTGTGTAGTTAGTATTCCTTTGGTTCTGAGATATGCTGTATACATGTGCTATTGATAAAAATGAATGTGAGGTATCTATTAATGTGTGCATTGATATTTAATTAATTTTAATGAGGTTGAGGAAAAACTCAAGAGAGAGAATGGTAGCTTAAAAACTTGTAAAGAACTGCAGAATATAATAGCTAACACCATGACCCTGTATTCTGTTACGGTTTACATACAACTGACTCACTTTATCTTTTTCTTGTTTTCAAGGCCATGGAATTTGGTTAAGCAGGTATTCAGAAATACCTTTTTTAAATATCCCTGAGCCAGATGGGAAAACAATTCCTCCAGCATTAGCAGGGTTCAATATGTTCTGGACGATGATCATTTTATTACAGGTAACTTCAGTATGCTTTGAACACGGGTCATAGTCTGATCCCATTTATATCCTTTAAGTAACTCCTCAGCTTCAGTAGAGCTACTTCATGTTTGTAACTGGCAAAAGGGTTTATTTTTATTTAATACCAATGTTTTATTTTGGTAGGTCTTGATCCCAATTTCTCTCTATGTTTCAATTGAAATTGTCAAACTGGGACAAATTTATTTAATACAGAATGACATCGATTTTTACCATGAGAAAACAGACTCGACAATTCAGTGTCGAGCACTGAATATTGCTGAAAACCTTGGCCAGATTCAGTATATCTTCTCTGACAAGACTGGAACCCTCACTGAAAATAAAATGGTTTTTCGGAGATGCAGCATTGCAGGACACGAGTATTGCCACGAGGAAAATGGTAAGACACTAAACCTGTGTCCACAATGGGTCATATTTCTCGTCTCAAAGAAGCTGAAAGTTTTGATGGGGTCCAGTGGACTTCAGGAGGTTTGTGTGGCAATACACACAAAATATATTAGTTTAGACTGATCCTACTAACAGCCATGCATCTTTTCCCATTATTTGGTTCCCTTCATATATAGTGTGTTAAGAGACTTGAAGGCTGTGTGTAAGGTGCTGCTTTGCAGCTGGTTATGTTCAAACATTTGATACCACAAACAAAATATTTACTCACTCTGGAGGAAGTCATGCCTACTGTGTTTTGATTGTCTCTTTGCAATATTCAGAACCCAGAACAGTGGAAAATTGACTATCTAGTCTTTCCTCCTTTTTTTTTTTCCCCAACTAGAGTGCCAATGCTTACCTAGCATTTTAGGGTTCATACATCCTGTTGACTGCCATAGCACCTTTATGTAGTATATCTTAAGGCTCTGATTTGACGTACTGTTGCCCTTGAGGATACAGTAACCCAAGTAAAATAAATGCTGAACTCAGAGCTTTAGTAAGGTATGAGTCAAGCAGATGTGTGTACATGTGTGTGTTAAGGCTGCAAAGATAAGTACCTCCATCAAAAATAATGTCTGTTCTATTCTTACTCATCTCTTACACACGTTAGCCAAAAAGGCAACAAGCGGTGTTACTGGATGGTTGCTGCCTCATTGTCTAAGCATGACATCTTTCAGTACACATTTCTTGAGAGCCTACTTGAAGTCTTTTGGGAGCCAGGAGAAGATACAACTCCAGACACAAGAGAAAGTTGGGCAGAGTGGCATGAAGTCTTTGATTCAATTAGCTATTTTATTAATTAGTTAAAACCACAAAGTTTTTATTACTGTTACTGTATGTAAGTACTAGTGGCTGCAGACATTTGCTGTTTTGCTGGTGGGCAGTGCAAGGATTTCATATGAAGAGATCAAAGGTGAGGTGCTGACAGGTGGACACATGAAGCACAGTTGTGTATTAAACCCCCTTTGTGGTTTTGGTGGGTGTGCTGCCAAATAGAATTGCTCACAACTGCAAGCAAAAGGCACACCCTGCTGGCCACATAATGAATGAGTTCAGCCCTTTCGTTCTGTTACAGGAGTGGATAGTTACAAACAATTTTTACAGTAATTTCTGCACATATTTTGACAATTTTATAGTGCAGGTGTCCAGGTGCTTCTTTGGCTTTGCATAATTATACTGGGAAGGATAACAACAACAAAGTGTGAAGAAGTATTTTTAAGTTTCGATCTTGGTGAATGAAGAACATGAAAAGTAGAATATATTTTCAGAGCATTTCCAACAAGAAAGAAAATTATTTCAGAAGAGATAAACCAAAGAATAGCGTGAATGACGTAGCTGTGGCTGATCCGAGTCTCATTGTGCCAGGGAGAGTATGTCTACCACATACTTTTGCTAGCAGTTCACCTAGAGTTATCTTCCAAAAATATTAGTGCATTAATTATGTTCGTAATTATTTCCTGCTGTGCCCTGTCTTTTACCTGGAGGGTAAGCATTAGCTTCTTCCCAACAAATCTAGAAATTATGTGAGCTCTGAAAATCAGTTTGAAAAATGTTGGAGGTCCTGTGTTTTAGTCCCGTTTTATGTTTGTTCAGTTGCATAGAGCTGCTGTTTGCAAGTCTCCTGCTACATATAGTAAGAGTTTGCCTTGGTAGATGAAGACTG